GTACTGGCTTTGTAATTTCACCTGTAAAGTTCTAAGCAGTAACTCCTCCCTTTGCTTGGTAAGGAACTTGGCCCACGGTGGGTGGTTTAAAAACAACCACCACCTCCCTAGAATAAAATAAGGAAGCACTGTCTGCATGTTAGGACTCTTACATCACCTGGGGCAGGACAGGAAGCCAAAAGCTCACACTTGCAAGCTGCACCACCGATTGCCAAATCTCCCCTGTAAATCCAGCAAACAGAAGCCAAACAGTTGTTAAGAAACAAGATAGGCACCCAGATAAGAATGCAGAAGAGTTTTAAAGACACTACAGTAAACAAAGTACAAAATATCTGACTGCTTTTAAACAAGTGCAGCCAAAACCGCAGCACACAATGACATAAATCTGGAGAAAAAACAGAAATTGGCTGACTTCTTCCAAGCAAACTGGTACCTTCGCAACATCTGCAAATAACTCCAAAGCAGCCTGGCCTCTGAGAGTCTTGACAAAGTCCTGATAGCTGAACTATATTTTTTTTTCTTTACCTCAAGCAGGAATAAGAACTTCTTTTCCAGCTACTCATTACACAGAAACTAAAAACCAGCCACAAAAACTTTTTCTGGATGTAGTAAACCCCCACCAATCTCCAAGCAGTGAACTACGCAGATTTGTCCCTTGATTTTAAGCTTTATTTGTTTTTTCCTGCTAGTAGAACATATGCATGTCAGACATTAGCATGCCAAATACCTTGACATCCAGGATTTACCCAGCCAGGATTGCTTTGGCCACCTGCCAGAAGTCCAAGGACCACACTGCATCCGTGAGAAACGGACCTGACTCAACTATTGTGTTCTCTGCAGGACAACCTTGTTCTAACAAGGAAACAAGCCGAATGACATGACAGAGAGAAATCCATCTTCCCTTTTTTTTTTTTTTTAAAAAAAAAAAAAGCAATTCAGATGTACAGCTTGCAACAGTGCTATCCCTTGAGGATCAAGGCAGACAGGCAGGTCTAGGCACTACAGTTGTCCTAGCCATGAATCTTTATCATCTAGCCCTACTTTTCACACCCTATGAGATTACTAGCCAGATGCTTATTTTTCTTTTGGTTTGCAGAAGTGGTGAGAAGTCATTTGGCAAATGGCTCCCATACAATTACTATGTGGCTGTGCCCTTTTCAAATTGCTTATGATCAAGTTAATCAAGAATCTGCCCCACTTCATTGACTAAGGCACTTCATTAATCAACTTGCCAAAAGCAAAGACTGTGGCAGAGAATCAAGAATCACAGAACCAGAGTCTGAACTGCAAAATCCATCCTTCTCTTGTATACAGTACTGAGAGCAGAATGGTTTGCCAGGCTCTTCCATCAAGTCTACTTCCAATGTTTGATCTGCCTTTCGGAGACAACAGTTTGGGGGGGGTGGGGGGAGAAACAACCAAAGTTATCAATTCATTAAATACAAGTGCCCTTCCCATCTATCTTTAACTGAAAGCACTGACTTTATACAGCAAGGTTAAAGAACAAGCCTATGAAATGCCATTTCAAGGCAGCATGTAGACTCTCATGTCCTCTGCTGCTGCCCCTGCACACAGACCACCAGAAGAACAGGCAGCGCTACCTTTCAGTCAATCGTACAAATCAATCAGAACAGAGGGTGCCACCCTGAGCTACAGCACGTTTTTATTACACAAGCAGGACAGACACAGATTTACAAGGCAGTAAGAACATGCATGAAGGACTGCTTATTCTTCACACAAGGAGTGCCCATGACACACTCTGGGCCCCAGCTCTTCACATACTGCTCTCAGAAATCACAGGCACATTCCTGTCATTCATACTAATGTTTGAAAGAAACCCAAGATAAACACACTGCCTTGCTAAAAATAGAGTCACTAAGAGAGAGCCAATCCCAATGAAGTTTCACAATTGGCTTAAGCCAACCTTTGAGAATCCACGTGCTTCTTCCTCACCCACCCAAACAGTCTCACCACCCTTGTGACAGCTCAGTGCTCAGGTAGCTCCGAGGTCAGCTGGATCGTTATCTCTGCCTGTGGTGAACACTAACCTCAGAAGAAAGCCCGCCTGAACACAAAGCAGCAAGCTGATCCAGCTGACTCCCCAGCCACACGCACATGGGTGCCAGCAATAAGGAGCAGGTGGAACATCCTGTTCTCCAACAGTACAACTCCACACCAGCTAGCTGAAGCTGGTCACAAAAATGTCGCCCTCAGCCAAGCTGGAAAATGACACTAATTGTTCTCCTTCGAATTTGTTTCTGGCTAACAAACCAACAAAAGCAAGACAATGCTTACACTGTCATTACACTTGATACCATTGCTGCTCACACTGAGTAGCACTGTTTGATTTATCCCAGTTCTCAGTCTTGCCTTTTATTCAGATTGTAAACATCACTCTTCTCCATGTTCACAAAACGCTTGGCATAAGGTTCTTCCATTCTACAGCAATGCAGATTGACTAATATATGCCAAGCCCCAAAGAAACACAGACTCTTCAAAAATTAGGCTATCAAAATGCTAAGTCTCGTTTCCAGTGGAGATCAGAACATGCACTAATCTTGGCACAAAACCTACTCACAG